TTTCTCACTTTAAGAACTTGCTGCACTGAACTTTACTACTTGACTGTGCTGCCCTCCACTGCCCTTTTACCTCCATTTATATAAATCAGGAATAATTTTAACTGCCTTTTTTCTAGCACTCAATTATTTTTCACTTCTTGCAGCACAACAATTTTATTAAGCATTATAGGTTTCTTTGAATTTCTAAAGAAAATATTTCTGTGCTCCTTCAAAGTCTGTTATGAAGCCAGAGACTTTTGTACTTGCTTGTCATGGTATTTTTAAAGCCAATTATTACACATTTCTGCCCATACTGAAGCAAATCCCCTGTTGACTTCAAGAAATTTGCCTGAGTGAGGTCTTTGAGATTTGGCTCATTGTCCAGTTCGACCTAAATGCTCACAAACTTAATTAAACTTGGGTCATTTATAAAGATTAAAACCTTAATAGCCCCAAACTAGTAAGAATGTTTTCTTTCTGACTTTTTTGGCATAATTATTTCTTTTCCTAACACTGCAAAAACAACTTATCACTATCATAAAATCAGATATTGTAGCAAACTAACTAAAATAGTCTCAACAATATATTCTTAAATTGCTCTTTCATCTTTAAGTACAACCTTTCCCCATTTTAGAAAAGACATAGCCCTGTGGCGACAGTAATAGGACACTTGCAGTTTTTCATATAATTACTCTTGTTACATGCCTGTATAGAATATTGTAATTATCCCACATCCAACAATAAGAACTTCAGTTCAGGTCTGTAGAGATTTTAAGCACTTAAAACGGAACCAAGACAGAATTTAGATGTTACATACAACACACTATACACAAAACCCAGCATTCTGCCTTAGCCAGCCATTTAATCTCCATGACTGAGAAGCCACGCCATTTGTCCCAGGTCATATAAAAAGTCTGCTGAAGATATGAACTGGACAGTTTCAAAACCTAGTACAGGGGGGTTTGAACCAGCTATTCTGCTCACAGCTAACCCCATAATCCTTCCTCTTCAGGTCTAACAGTAAGAAATATCACATACTCTGTTGATAACAGCAACAATGTCAGAAGGAGAACTGAAAAATGCTTAGAACATGATCTTGTGAAACCTCAGCTAGCATACATACTTTTTTCTACAGTGAAGATGGTCAAAAGGCTTGGACCTTTAAGGATTTTTAGACACCACTTGTTAGGAAGTAGGCACTTAAAACAGTAACTAGGGATCTCTAAATACCTATCAGATTCTGAGTCTTAGCACCTTGTTTCTTCTGTGCCTGCCAAAGAGAGCATGTATCTTCACTTTCAGAAGGAATCTATCTACTGTATTGTATGGATGCAGATGGCTGTATCTCTTGTGGCTACACACCTGCAGGTTCACATTTGAAAATGGGTTTGCTAAGGGGAAGTTATTTAATCTAAACAAACAGCTCAGTAAAGAATCCAAAGAATTTCCAGCAACACCAAGGAACATACTTCGATCTACATGGCTTTATTGTGAGTTTAACTTGGACGTTGTTTTCAAATAAACACCTATACCTGCAATTAAGGAAGAAAAATCAAGATTCCTTTCAGCTGATATATTTTGTTATAACCATTCTACCTTTATTTTTCTGCTTTTTAGTGCTGCCAGTAGGCCAGTCAAGTAATTGAGCATTTAGTAAAAGGGAAAACCAAAAATAATTTCTCTCTCTCATGTCATGTGGATGAGGTATTTCCAAAGGTTCCTGACTAAGGAAACTCAAACTGAAGGCAGCGGAGGTGCTTCCACATTTCAAAGCCGTCATTCCGAATTCGATTTAAGGCTCAAGGAAGGGTGTAAGTTACTACATTAGATATGATGTCATCTTTTTATTCTACGATGACAATGGACTTTCGGATTTTCATTTAGGAGAAAAATGTTGATTTTTTGTAAAAATCCAATAAGCTTTGTCAGGTATAGGAAATGATGGAAAGATAGATGAAATCAAAGCATTTTGTGGTGCTGGTGAATGTAGCTGGTCCACTTTCAGGGGAAACTGAAGATACATGAAGCTCTACAGTAGGTTTTCTCTCAGTAAAGTTCCAAGTATTAGTGAAATATATGGTAAAACTGACTTTAAAAACTGAATACATCCCCCATTCTTTATTAAATGCTCCTTAATTTTAATGAAACTAGAGGTCTGAAAAGAACTTCTTAGTGCACTACATAATCTCATTAAGGGGCAAACCAGCTTTATAAAACAGGAAGATTCTTGGAAGAAGAGATCAGTGATGAAGAGACAACTATGCAGTGTATCCTTTTGGTCAAGATACTTCCTAACTTTCCTAAGCTCCACTGGGTACTAAAGAGTATGCTTTCTTTTTAATATCATTCTTGTGCAAGATTAAGTCAATTTCATGATCAATGGTTTTATCCAAATGGTGTTTCCTTTCACATACACAGCAAAAGATGTATCAAACAAAACTAGATAGAGAAAAGCATGATAGACTTACTGTGCTCCATTCTGTATGAAACCACTTAGATCCACAGGGCTTGAGGTAGCAGGATTGCTGGCTGGGAGGTTTTTCCAAATATGAACATTCATAGGGGTTCAAAACATCAAAATTACCTTCAGTTTTCCTAACACAAATGACTTCTCTCTGTTGAGTTCCACTGCCACATTCAGTAGAGCACTGTATCAGAGAACAAAAAAAAGTGGTGGAATTTGTTATTCTACTTATGTCCTTCAACTTGTTTCCAAAGTAGCATGTTTCTCCATGTTATTTGTTTCTGAAATAAAACAACACATACACTTGCATTTTAAATTAATATTCAAATGGGAAAATCTGTAAAGGTTTTCTTATTCCCTATTCCTCGACACACACCTAGACACTAACATCCAAAAGCCATTTCCTTACTTTTATATGTTCTTTCCTCAGCAAGAGGAACTTAACTGTATCTTTCCTTCCATCACTGGCATATGTATGACTTGAAGAGAAAGGAAAAGGGTAAAGTATTCCTTAAGTTCCTGTGGTAGGGTTTTTATCTCTTGGAACCAGAATAGTAATAAACTTGGGTTATTGTTATTATTTGTATGTAGTACCAACATAGTAGCCAGCAGTCCCAGTTAGGAACCAGAACACGAAAGTGCTGAAGGATATAGTAATGACTTAATTCATCAAGTGACTACTGACTGTAAGTGTTGGTATTACATATTTAATTTTTAATCTTCAAAATGGTTACAGTGGTTAAGACTGTACTTCTGTGAATGTTTATTCCACATGGTACCACAGACTCAAAACGTATTCCTAATTATTTTTATGAAGAAGACGACATATGACTGTAAGTGTGCTTTTGGAGAAATCTAAAAATGAAGTTTTACCTGTAGCTACAAATAGAAACTGGTATTTATTTTTCTAATAAAAAGAGAAGCATAACTTATTTTCTCCATAAACACTGTTACTGCTTCTTACTGACGCAGGATTGTATGCACTACACTGAAACTTTGAGGGTTATAAGGTTAGAGCACAGTTTTGCAGCTTTACAAATCCCCACATTCTGTGTGGTTTTCAGAAAATGCCTTGATCTGCGAGGGTGTTCTTTTCATGTTTGCAAGTATTTATTTGATGCAGTGTTGGTTCCAGTTCTGAAAAGCAAATTTGACTCACATGGACTCTTACTGCCCATTTAGAGGTTAAATACACACATGATACTGTTCCTGGCACTTGTAAAAAGGTTTTTAGAAGATGATTCCAGCAACATACTGGTTGCTACATTGTGTAAAGGACTATGACTTTCAAAGGCTTTTTCTAGCCTAAACTGATGAAATGTTATTAAAAGTTGGGATTTTGTTTATATTTTGGGTGGAATTTATGATCCCTTTACCAGATACCCACAAAACCTTGAGCTGAACAAAGAACCTTGAGATGAATGCACCCAAACAAACTCTACAGCAAATAACGTAACTGCACTTTCTTTAACACTGAACATCTCTGTCACTGCTCTCTTTTAATAGTTGCTCCAAAAGACAGTATCTTAACATTCAGCCTTAGCTCTAGTGGAGCATAATACGGAAGACCATCCGCCAGTGCTCCCTCCTGCTCTGGTCTACTGACTGTCTGCTTTCATTTGGGTATTCAGAAGTCAGCATTTGGCCAGTAGACTAGATGTTGTCAGACACTTCTTTCAGATAACATACAGCAAAGATTTTGTACCCTTGGTATGCATCAAACAATTCAATCTCATGCAAATAAAGAAGGTGAATTAGTTTAAAAGAATGTGAAATCGTAAAGGACGGAAACTTCTTAATCATAACAGAATGGGGACAGGTAGGATGACCTTACTGAATGCTTCTCTCTGTGGTAGCAAGAATGGATACAAAGCTCCTATCCACCTGCATGGAGTGGTGTTAAGTAACAAGGCCCAGATTTTATCTGTTATTAGAACCGCAGCTAAGTATGTTTTAAATCTGACTTTGTTATTACTCTGTTACACTACAAATAATTACCACTTACACTTGAAAGCATTAGCATAGTAGCAGCCCTGTAATCTCCATCTCAGCTGTACCAGTTTAATTTCCAACTCCTTATCAACTGGAAGGATCTTGAAATCTGAAATGCAGTGAGTTAACAGCACAGCCAAGAGACTTTTCCCTAACAACTCAATGAAGTGCGGGTACCAGCAGGCGGAAAGGCTCTCTAGGCTGTATGAGACCCTACACAAAAGGACATAAATGTCTGGGCACCAGCTGACAGCTTCTGAAATGCCTTTGCTCTTGACAGCCAAAATGTTTACTTAGAATGAGAAGGACTATTGAGATGTGGATCAGGAGAAGAATTTACCTTGAGGAAGAAGCATCAGGATACAGGCCTGTATAACCAATATAACCAAAATAACCAAATTTTGTGCCTTTCACCTATTATCACGAATTTCAGCACAAGAATACTGAAGCTAACCTTTGGGTTTAGCCATTGTTTTTTGTCTTATTTATTTTTTGGAAAAAAGAGAGAGAGAGAGAGAGAGAGATCCCTGCAGGTATGCATGATCACAAAGGCTCTAGTTTAAAAGGTGCAAATCTGTTGCTTAAGCGTTCACCTGAATATGCTAAGCAGCCTTCTGTTATCTTTCATTTTATAAATATATTGGGTCAGTAGATGAGAAATAAAAGTGAAGCTACAGAGGAAGATAAGAAAATCTTATTTTCATCAAAGTAAAAAAAGAGTAGGTGCTGAAAAGTATTGAACATCAACTCAGCAAAATACAGAAAAAAAAAATCTGAATATTCCACAGAGATGTAGAAGTACCTTAAGGCACACATCTTCATCGCATAAAAATACATTTTTTAAATTAAAATACCAGCCGAAAACAAATACCTGTGTTAGGTATAGAACCCACCTGTGTCCAGCCCCCAGCAAACCACTCCACTTTACCAGCACAGGGTCCATTATTACAAGGAGTCGTTTCAGAGGGTCTGTTATTGCCACAGCCTTCCAGAGGCAAACTGCTGACGTGGTTCGTCATACAAACCACTGAACGTGTACGGACTCCATCACCACATTCTGCAGAACACTGGGGAGCAAAATACAGAACATGTTCACTAGTCTGTCCTCCAAACTGTGCAATGAAATGGGGAGAAGCAACAATCACAAAAAGTAAATGAATTTAGGCAAGTTGATTATTATTACTTGTAATTCAGCTGTAGCAAATCATCTTACAGTTTCCTACTTTTGAATACACTACAAGTAGTACCTGTCCTTTACAATCACAAATGAAAGAAACTGAAGGATTAGGGAAGAAAGAAATCTAATTTTTGTAGCTTTTTATTAGCTTGCTTTCTTTTCCTTCCTTCTTCCTGTCTGTAAATTCTTTCAGTTTTCATTTTATTCAGCTTTTGGCATACCAATTAATAGATCTGAGAAGGGATAATTTCAATAAGCAGCTTTTCAGTCAGCAGTCGTCTTTCAGCCTTTGAATTGTTCTACGAGTTTCTGCTCCGACCATTCAAGCTGTCAGCCAGGTGAACTCCCACACTGGTTAAAAGGACTAAGCTAGGAAGACGCTGAGGGCTGTGGCATTGGTAGCAAAATGACTGCATAGTGCATCCTAGAACTCTTCCATATAACGAGTTGACAGAGTATGAGAGCACAATAAAGTAGAAAAATATAGATTTTTTTGATAGGTGGTTTCAAAAGGTCCAGGTAAATCCTCAGCAAATAACTGTATCTACTACTAATTATTGCCCAACCTGTTTGAACTGTAAGTTGTTAATTAGTTTTAGCAGAAGAAGTAGAAGTTTATGTAAAGTCCATGTTGCTTTCTAATGATATGACTTCCCAGTAACTAACCTTCACCATTCTCAACTTTTCACTGCTAATTTCAGAAAACTCTTAATAAATAGTGATTTGCAGATTCTTATGTCACATATTTGGAGATAGTATCCATGTCATCCATAAATCACGCAGGATAAATTCCATTTACACCCTTACAGTTTCGTCATTCATCTGCTTCA